TGTGGTTTGTATACCTAATGCTACTTCCTTGTAGAAACAACCGCTCTCCTTTTTGAATGGTTGTTAATTTGAGATAGCTTCTTGGTTGGAGATTGGAGCTAGTGTCTACTTCTCCATTTCAGCACTAGTTTGGATTTGAGCAGGAGCTATGTATGCTGCTACAGTCTCTGTAAGTTGTATGTGTATCAGTCCTCTTGTATCTGAAAGATATTGTTTCTGTGGTATCATCCATTGCCTTTACTCTTATAATCATTCTAGTTCCTATTCCACATAGATCCCTGAGCCCTGAGGGCAGGGTCTTGAAGAAAACCTATTTAGGGCTGAATGTTTCTAAGGTCTCTTACTCTTTGCGCACTGTCTAGCCATGGGTCTCACTATTAGTTTCCTTCTACTGCAAGAGACACCCTCTTTAAAGATGACTGAGTAAGACATTGCTCTATGGGTATAGTAGAATGTCCCTAAGCTTTCCTTTAGCAGAAAAACAGTATTTGGTTTTTCCCTAGTACCATGGTCTATCACGTTTCAATTCTTGGCTATGCAAGCAGTGTTGGGCTTGTGATCCATCTCATGGAGCGAGCCTTACATCCAATCAGGAAGTGACTGATTATTCACAGAATCTTTGTACCCCTATTGCACTAGGATATTATTCAGACAGGTCACCATTGCAGATCTGATTGTTTTTAGCTCAGTTGATGTTTACGTTTCTCATCTGGTAACATGCAGACTACCTTCAAATGCTATGAGTACTACTCAGTAGGAATGAAGGCTTTAGGTAGTTATGGGCTTGACTTCTCTGTGTTTAATGTGATATTTGGGTATTATTTTCAGTAATACAGCCTTACAATCATTTTGTGAAGAGCAACCCATAGATTTGAAAATATTCTGAGTTTTTTTGAGAGTTTCCATTGGGCCACTTTAGTAGTCAACAACTCAATTAGATGTAACCCATTCCTGGCACTTGACAATTCGCTTAGTGTGTAGAATGGTATCTAGTTAGTGTCTCTCCAGTATTTGTTTTTTCTTTTCTTTTTTGGTGTTTCAATTTAGATTTCTTTCATATATATATATATATATATATATATATATATATATATATATATATTATAAGTTTCTACTATAGTAGGCTTCCATATAAACCCTCAAGTGGCCCTTAGTGTTAGTTGTCTCTCCACTACTTTCCCTCTGGCTTTTCTCTTCCACTCAATTTAATCATTCCTTTCCATTATTGCCTCTATTTCTCTATAAATATATATTCTATTTACCCTTTCTAGGGAGACCCTTTCCTTTGCCATGGTCCCTTACTCTATACCTAACCTCTGTCATTATTTAGATACATTCATATAAAATAGAATACATAAAAGCTTATTTCTCTAGTTCCATTTATTTACATGTAAATAATAATTTCACTTTTACAGCTAAATAATATTCCATTGTGTATATGTACAACATTTTGCTGATCCATTGATGGACATCAGGAATGTTTCCAATATCTGGCTATCATGAACAGAATAGCTGTAGCATGAATCTTAACAGGTCTTATTAATAAAATCAAACCTGGGCCAGGTATTGGGATGAATGCTGGAAGATCAGAGAAGCAGAACAAGCCACAGCATCCTCACCTTGCCAGTTCCTCAGCTGATCCTGTTTCCTCAGACTGGAAGCCTCTGAGTCCTCATATCTGAATGGATCTCAGATGAACTGCTGCTAGAAGCCTAAAAGCTTAACCGGCCAAATGCTTCTAGTTTCTGGTCTTCATGCCTTATATATCTTTCTGATTTCTGCCATCACTCCCTGGGATTAAAGGCTCACTTCTTGGGATTAAAGGCGTGTGTCACCATACCTGGCTGTTTCCAATGTGGCCTTGAACTCACAGAGATCCAGAGGGATTTCTACCTCTGGAATACTAGGATTAAAGATGTGTACTACTACTGCCTAACCTCTATGTTTAATATTGTGGCTGTTCTGTCTCTGATCCCAGATAAGTTTATTAGCGTGCCCAATATTTCAGGGAACACAACATCACCACAAATAGCAATGAACATGGTTAAGCAAGTGTCTCTGTAGTAGGAAGAAGAGGCTATATATCTAAGAATTGAATAACTGAGTTGTGATCTATTCCCAGCCTCTTGAGAAACTGCCATACTTATTTCCAGAGTGTTTTTAGGAGTTTGCACTTCCACTTGCAATAGATGAGTGTTCCTTTACTCTACATCATTGTATCATAAGCTCTCATTTGTTTTATTAATATTGACCATTCTGATTGCTGTAAGATGAAATCTCAAAGTGATTTTCGGTTGTATTTCCCTGATGACTATGGATTTTGAACATTTCTTAAGTGTTTCCCACCCATTAATTTTTCATCTTCTAATAACTCTGTTTAGTTCTATATCCCCTTTATTATTAGGTTATTTGTTTCTTAATATTCAGGCTTTTAAAATTATGTTTTATATATTGACCCTGTATTGAATCTATAGTTGATAAAGATCTTTTTTCCACACTGTAAACTGCCATTCTGTCCAAATGATGATATCCTGCACCATATAGAAGCTCTTAAATTTTATGAAGTCTCATTTACTGATTGTTACTTTGTGTCTGTGCTATGCATATCCTGTTCAGAAAATCTTTTCCTGTGCCAACAAGTTTAAGACCTTCCCCCACTTTTTCTTCTACAAGAATCAGGGTATCTGCACTTATGTTGATGTCCTCGATCTGTCTGGATTTGAGTTTTAGGTGGCTCAGAACTTTAATGTGAGAGGTAGGCAGATCTCTGTGAGTTCAATCC